GCAGTCACATGGCTGCATCTAGCTGCAAGAGAAACTGGGAAATGTTATCTTTCTTTGGGCAACCAACCTTGAGCCCAGGTAAAACTCAGGAGTTATACTATGAGAAGGGAGGAAGTGAGATCAGCTACTGGGGGACAACTATGAATTTTGCCACAAACTTTAGCAGGTTTTTTTCTTGGTGTCTTCCCTGTTCACCTGGCTTTGATAGAGGCCATAGAGGGAAGGCACTTGTCAGGAGGAGGCGAGGAGGACAGTTGGGCTGGGCTTCCTTCTTTAGGGACAGCTGAGGGCTAAATGCATGGCCTGTTTGTTTTGGGGGGGTGAGACGACAGTACCAGGACTTCGGGGGAATGAGTGTGGATGTGGTGAGGCTGGAGGGTTAGAGCCTCCCCAGTTAAGAACAGTCTTCTAGGAAGGAAAGAAGAGGTGAAAGCAGATGGCTGGTACTGCCTGCACCCTAAGTAGGTAGAGATGATCCTGCCAAGGGTAGACAGCTCTGCACTGGACAGAGAAATGCCCGTGAAATTCCCAGACCCTTTCCCACAGTTGACATTTGGTAACTCTGAAAAGGAAACCCAAATAAGAGTGTGCTTCAGATCGAGGCCAAAGGACACACTGCCCCAGAATGGGGACAAGTGACAGTCATTGCCAATCTATTGTGCATTAATGCTCTGTAACTAGAATTTTGGAAAGCGGATGAGGTGGAACAGAGGCCTGGATTGTCACCCATCTGGCCAGTGGCAGGTGATCAGTGCAGCACCAGGACGACAGGGGTGATGGCATGACTGAGGTGGTCAGCTCGGAGCACACGGGCTCCCCCCAACCCAGGGCAGCATGCACTGCTGTGCAGGGTGCCAGTAAGTGCTGGTACACTAAGAGAAGGGGCTCCTTGATTTCCCCATGGAAGCCACCCACCACCAAAGGGGGCCTGTTTGCCAGGTACTCAGGAGCTAAGAATTGTCTACACGTCCATGACAGGCCTGATCTCTGTGAGAGAATCTAGGTTGAACTGGATGACCTGACCGCACAGTAGTGCCCGCTGGGCAGGGAGCCCCATCTCAGGGTGGGAACGCGACTGCTGGTTGGGGCTGGAAATGTAGGTGGGGGAGACAGGCATCCGGGGAGCAGGGCCTACTGCAAAAAGCTCCTCTTGCTAAGGGGTTTGAATGTCGTTGCGTAGGCTGTGGGGGGGAGTCATCGCAGCAGGGCAGAGGCAGGATCAGATGACCATTCAGGGAGGGTGCTGAGCAAGGCTCCGTGCGTGTTGGGAGAGCGGAGGTCGCGGGCCTTTGGAAGGCTGCCAGTAAGTTTGTATGAGGAAAGCTGAGGGCTCGACCAGGGCTCCAGCAGAGAGAAGGGAAAGGGGAGGCTGGATCAGAGGTAGGAAGCATTAGGACTGCGGGTGCACGAGGGGGAGGGTGCTCGGGCGGATGGTGGAAGCAGATGGTATTGACCGAGTGAGGAGCCCAAGACCAGAAGGGTCTCGCGTGTGTGCGCCCGTGTGCGTGTGTGTGTGCGTGTGTGTGGGGAGGGGTACTTGAGGGCCATGGGCAGTACGGGGAAGTGCAGACCTGGACTTCGGACGTGCGCAGGCTTACTTGTGGGACATCCAGGTGGAGCACAAATCACTTCCTGCCTCTGGATCCCTCGCCGGCTCCGTTCCCCGGCGAGGGCGGCACCCGGCAGGCCGCTGGGCGTGGACGCAGTCCTGTGGCCGCGTCCGGCCGGCGGGTGGAGCGTCCCAGCGGGTTGGACGACCGGGCCCTCCGGGGTGTGGCCGCCCCGCGCCCCGCCCCGCGCCCCTCCTCCGCCGGCGGCTCCCGGGGCTGGTGGTCTCTCCGGCGCTCGGCTTCCTTCCGCAGCTCAGCTCAGCGCAACCGCCGCCCGGCCCCGCCAGCCTCCGGGTAAGGCGGTGGGGTCCCCTCGCCCGCTTGCGCGGCGCCGGCTCTGCCCAGGCTCAGGCGCCCCCGGCCTCCCGCAGCCCCCTCCCCCATTCCGGCCTCACGCGGACGTCCCCGGCCCCTCCCCAGCCCCCGCGCCGGGTGGGAACGGGGCCCCTGCAGCGTCGGCTCCGCAGCTTCGGGGCGCTGCGGAGGGGCGCCGGCCCTGGGCGGGGCGGATTGTCCGGGAAGCCACGTGTCCCCACGGCCGCTCGTGGTGGGGGAGGCGGGCCGGGCGGGCGCCCACGTGGCCTCGCTGGCGCGGGATCCCGGCCCTGACCGCGCCTCTCACCCCGCAGGACCATGGCCAATCTCGAGCGCACCTTCATCGCCATCAAGCCGGACGGCGTGCAGCGCGGCCTGGTGGGCGAGATCATCAAGCGCTTCGAGCAGAAGGGATTCCGCCTCGTGGCCATGAAGTTCCTTCGGGTAACGCGCCCCCGTCTCCCCTCCGGGTCCCCAGCCGGGTCGTGGGGTTTCCCCCACCCGCAGAGCCTGGTCCGCGTCCCCTTCCCGAGCCGCGGTCCGCCTTGGCCATTTCCACGCCCGCGGGAGCCCCTTCGCCCTCTGCCCCGCCCAGGGCTGCGCCGGCCCGCCGACCCCTGCCTGAGGCTTGGGAGGACTGACGACCTTGGGAAGGTTAAGCGGAGGTAACGTGGCTCCTCCCGAGCTGGCTTCCTTCCCGCGGGCGCGTGTTGTCGCCGCCGCAAGGCAGGAGACCCCCTTTCCCTACCCACCCGGGTCTACATTTGCACAGAATGGAGGCTTGGAATCTTTTGTGCTTTAGCCTGAAACTTCGAATTGATTGAGGTTTTAGGTGACGTGTCCCTTCCTTTTGCATAGGTTAATAACTATATTTTCCACATTAAATTTGGGGCACAGATCTGACTCCCTACACTTAGGGATAAGTGTGTGAAATTCAACCCAGCTTATCAGTGAAGAGAATGTTCTCAGTTATCATCTGAAATATTTAAAAGGGCATTGTGAGTAGGCCAGAGGAGTTTAATATGACCTCTATCTGGCATATTACCTGGCATATTTATTATACTTCAATTGCAGCTGGTATTTAACTCCTTAAATCTAGATTCTCAAACCACCTACTTCTTAGGATTACAAAATCCATAACATTGACATTATGAGGGTGTCTTTATGATTTGAACAATCTTTCTGCTAAAATGGTGTCAATTATATATTTTGGATTTCTTTTTTTAAATACATATATATGCCTTATGAATGTGGGCTAAAATATCTAACCTGACTTTTATTTATTTTTTATTTTTTTTATTTTATTTTTTGGGAAGGTCTCACTCTGTTGCCCAGGCTAGAGTGTGGTGGTGTCATCATAGCTCACTGCAACCTCAGACTCCTGGGCTCAAGTGATCCTCCTGCCTCAGCCTCCTGAGTAGCTGGGACTACAGGTGTGCACAACCATGCCCGGCTAATTTTTCTGTTTTTTTAGGGATGAGGTCTAGCTAATGTTGCCTAGGCTGGTCTTGCACTCCTGACCTCCTTGCCTTGGCCTCCCAAAGTCCTAGGATTACAGGCATGAACCACCAAACTCAGCCAAACATTACTTTAGAGAACCTACCATGTTAATGGGGGGTTCAGAGGATGGGATGGAGCCTTGTTTGAGCCTTTCCAGCTTATTTCCTGACTGGTACCTCCTCTTGACTGCCAGGCCTCTGAGGAACACCTGAAGCAGCACTACATTGACCTGAAAGACCGCCCATTCTTCCCTGGACTGGTGAAGTACATGAACTCAGGCCCGGTTGTGGCCATGGTGAGTGCTTGTGGGGCTGATGGGGAACCAGGGAAAATGGCTCAGTGTTCTTTTTATCTTCCCCAGCTTCTCTAAATTCTTTGTTTCACAAATGAGCCTGCTGGAGTTATTTAGTTAACTGAGTGACTAGGAGCTTGGGAGGAGAAAGGAAAGGGAATCAGACCTTAGAAAAAAGGACACTGTCACATGAAACTTGCCGGGGTTAAATAGAGAGTCTCACTGCGTACAAAAAAATGCTACATTTCTTCTGTTTGACAGGTGTTTTAGTCCTTAATGTTTCCTAGATTTAAAAGAACACTTTAAAATTTTTTCTCATGAAAAATTCAAACACAATTATGTATTAAGTGAAGGACACACTCTCTAATCCTGTGCTAGAAATGAAACATTTTCTTCTGGATAGTGTTAATGTCCAACTGGGAGTGAGGAGAATGGAAGGAGAGAGGGTAACAGGGAGGCACAGAAATTGTTGAGAAAGTAGACCTACTTCCTGTTCCCTGAGTGTGGCTTTTTCTTCCTTCTGCTCTTTCCTGGAATACTTTCCCCATGCATGTCAGCCTTCCCACTGATCCTTTTCCTGTCTGACCACTTTCCCTACCCTCTCCTCACTGTTTCTTGTCAGTGTGGCTTTATAAAAATTCTTCAGTCTATTTATCTCTGATTCAGACTGGGAAGTCCCCAAGTTCGGTAGACTTTTCTCTGTATGCTAGCGATATGTTTGGAATGGAGTTTTTTTGTATATAGGCCCCTACTGTCTTCTGGGATTAGCCGATAATCACGCACTGATTGGTTTCATTGATGTGTTCTGTTCGGTAGGAGTAAATGTTTGTCCCTATTGGTCCTGAGTGGCACATCTGATGGGATTCCTTTTCCTTACTGTCAAGGTCTGGGAGGGGCTGAATGTGGTGAAGACAGGCCGAGTGATGCTTGGGGAGACCAATCCAGCGGATTCTAAGCCGGGCACCATTCGTGGGGACTTCTGCATTCAAGTTGGCAGGTAAATCCTGTGGGGATGTTGATGACTTTTACTTGACACCATTTAAATGGGGTAGAAAGCAAGCATTTGGGGCATATCCTAATTTGAGAAAAATTTGAACTTATATATTAGGTGGTGATTATCACTGGATAAAAGCTTTTATAAATAGCTGCTTCCATAGTTTACTTTTAACCAAGACACTCCACGAGGGAGGTGCATGGGGTGGCATAGCAGAACGTGCCTTGTAAGGGTGGAGAAAGGAAGGGTTCTTCTAGCCTTGCCTGTGCCCTTTTGGCATTATGTCTGTGGGTGTGTTACTTAATCTTTTGGTTCCCTCACTTGTACAAAATCTGTACAAAAACGGCACAGTTTACGAGATTCAAATGGAATAAAGGGATTGCTATTAATAAGCATGTTATATCGTGGTCATGCTTTGCAAATCAGTGTTACAAGAAAATGTAGCAGAAATGGCCCTGGGTAAAGAATACGTCACATTTAGTTAGGGTTTTGGTTTAGAGTGGGTTTCACTATTCCTGGATTTCTCAAAAATTTGAGAAGGAATGTTTTATGGCATCAGGAATCTTGGGGTCCAAGTACTGTTTTGAGGGGGAAATCTTGGGAAGCATAATACAGTTAAGCCAAGGGATTTTTTTAATCAAGCATCTTTATAGTTGATTTTAAAAGGAAATAGTTTGGGGTGTAATTGGTCTGCTGCTTCCAGTGGCAATTCGGCAGAAAAGGTCTGCAGTGGCTACCCTTTACTGGACCCATGAAACCGACTTTTGCACTTTACAACATGGCAACTGGTAATGATTCTCTTTCTTTAGGAACATCATTCATGGCAGCGACTCAGTAAAAAGTGCCGAAAAAGAAATCAGCCTGTGGTTTAAGCCTGAGGAATTGGTTGACTACAAGTCCTGTGCTTACGACTGGGTCTATGAATAAGAGGTGGACAAAGCAGCAGTCCCCTTCAGCACCGCTTGGTGTGTCCCTGGACACAGCTCTTCATTCCACTGACTTGGAAGCAATAGGATTGATCATTCTTTTCTAAAGCATATTTACCAATAAAACCTTTAGAAACTGGGCAGTCTCCCTGTAGTTATTTGATACTAAGCCGAAAGAAGTAACTTGCTTCCCTGGTATAGCAGCATTATCCAGAACTCAGTCCTGCTTATGATGGAAGAATGATGTTATCCAGGGGTGGAGAACCTTTTTGTGTTGGAAGGCCCCATTAATTTAGCTGTAATCAGATAAGGCCACATTCAAGAAACTTAATTAGATATACTTAAAAATGTATATCACTTTGTAAAAATGTAACTATTATGTATTTAATAATAATTTCAAAAAAATGAAAACTGTTAATTTTGAAGTTAACCATTGAATGACTTTGTTGTGTCTGCTTTTTGTTGGAAAGTATTTGAATGTTTGGTTGCAGTATGGAGGTCCGTAGTTTCAGTTGATCCTCTAGATCTGCGGTCCCCAAACCCTGGTCCATGGATCGGTACCAGTCCCTGGCTTGTTAGGAACTGGGCCACACAGCAGAGGTGAGCAAGCCAACCGAAGCTTCAGCTGTATTTACGGTATTTGCAGCCACTCCATTGCTTGCATTGCTGCATAAGCTCCGCCTCCTGTCAGATCAGTGGTGGCATTTGATTCTCATAGGAACACGAACGCTACTGTACACTGCGCATGCGAGGGATCTGGGTTGCACCCTTTTTATGAGAATCTAATGCCTGATGATCTGAGGTGGAGCTGAGGCGGTGGTGCTAGCGCTGGGGAGTGGCTGCAAATACAGATTCTCACTAGCAGAGAGGTTTGACTGCAAAATAAATGTAATGCGCTTAAATCCCAAACCTACCCCGCCGAAGTCCATGGAAAAATTGTCTTCCATGAAATTGGTCCCTGGTGCCCAAAAGGTTGGGGACTGCTGCTCTAGATGTATAAAATATCAGTCATTTGTGACCTTAAGGGTGTCTTGATTCGGGTTAGGTGGGAGAATGCAGATTCACAGCAATAAGTGGTTGAAAAGCAAGAAAACATTTTTCAGGCATGTTGCTGAAGGTGTGTGGGGTATTCTGCATTTTTCCACATTTGGATTTTTCTTACCATCAAACAATGACTTAAAATGTGTACTGAGAACTCAATCAATTCCATCTGTAGTTCTTTAGGTGCCTTGGCGATATCAACTAGGTGGGGCTGAAATGCTAATTTGAGTGTGACATTATGATCCTCAAAGTCAGCGAACCTGTCATTGTATTCTCCAATTAATAGGTCTATAACAGCTGCATATTCTTCAAATGATTTGCATATATCATCCTGCTCATCAACGACCTTTGCTAACTGGGGAAAATGTTCATCAAACATTTCCTTTGGAAGAAAAAGTGTTTTGAAAAAAGATGGTTTTTTTCAAAATGCTTGGATTTTTGGCCACATATCATATATAGACTTAGTTTTACCTTGCAAAGAAATATTCAAGTCATTTTGGTTTGACCTGATACCACACACAAGTGCTGCATTTCTATAGAAATCTTTCAATAATTCACATTGCTGATTCTGTTCTCTGTAGAATTTAACTATCTGTTCTTGCAGAGAGAAAATTTTGGCTAACGCCTGTCCCTGTGATAATCAATATACTTTAGAATGATATGGCAAATCCACAATGAATACCTCATCCTTTAACTTCAGCATGTTAGGAAACTGACAATGCTGTGTTGCATTTGCATGAACATAGTTAACAATACTTATAACGTTGCGAAATGTCACTTAAAATAGCAGCTTTAGCATAGATTTTGCTGATGCAAGATATAATGAAAAGAAATGAGAGCATCTGGCTCTGTTAATAATTTTTTTATCTGTGCAATAAACCCTTCATGTTTTCCTGTTATGAGAAGTGCACGATGTGTACATACACTCACTAAATTTACCAAATTCAGTCCAGCTTATGGCATTTATCTTGAAAGTTGTTGAAGACATGTATTCCCCCTGTTCTGTTTGAAAGAGTGCCTAAAGCAAGTAACTCTTCATAGTAGAGAAAATCTGTTATGGTGTAAATGAAGTATAAAACCTGAGTGGAGTCGGTAGTATCAGTTGATTCATTCAGAACGATTGAATAATATATATTTTCCTTTTGAAGTATTGGCATGAAGTTGTTCTGTTAACTTGAAGGCAATTCACGCTGCCAATCAGTTATGGCACTCCTTGAAAGAGGCAGTTGTTTGTACTTTGAAACATTGGGGTCTAAACATCCTTCAACGTTGACAACGCGTTCTTTCACAATTTCTACATCACTGAATGGCTTCCCTTTTCCCCCAAGTATATAAGCTACTTTATAAGTTGTTTCAGTGGCGTTACTTCCGGGTCTGGTTGCTGCTTGAAAGACTTGTCTTTGCTTTTGCTTTTCATCTTTCAATTTCTGCAATACAACCGTTTGTACCTCTCCCTCTAATTTAAAATATTTGTGGTCCTTATGAGTGTTATGCTGATGGGCATTGAATTTCTATAATGTTGATATTGCAGTATCACAAAGCAAGCAAGCAAATCATTTTATCCTTAGCAGAAGTCAAGTGTGATTATTAAAATGGTAGATTAGAACCTGCATTTAAATGTGTTCCCTGGTGATCCTTACACACGTTGGTTCAGGTACCTGGGTTAGCAGCAGCAGGTAAGTACGGGCTTAACTCTGACAGGGCTGTTTGAAGAACTTTACACAAATGAATTCGTTGCATCTTTACAACTCTTGGGAGGCTGGCACTAGTATCCCCATTTCACAACTGAGGAAACTGAGCCAGAAATTACGTAACTAGCCAGTGAAGGAGGAACCAGGTTCCAGCCCGAGTGGCTGGCTTCACACTCCACACTCGTGGCCACTATGCTTTTCTGCCTTCACATAAGTAGTTTTCCAGTGACATGAGAAATGGAGTTTGGAGGGTCAGTGAAGTCGATTCCGAGTGGTGAGAGCTGAGAGGAAGGCTGCGGACGTTAGGCCTTAATTTGGTAGAACTGAATGAGAAAGAGTATGGTGGGATTAAAAGTACTGCCTCTGGAGTAAGGCTGCGCTGAGGATCTAATCCTACACCAGCTTGGGGTGTGAAAGTGACAACTCATTCAGAACCTTTCATGCTTTCGATCAACCTTTTAGAAAAAAACCACATAGTAAATGCGTTATTTAAAATGCATTACCTTTACATTATCTAGTCCTTGTCAACAGGCAAACCCTATTTCGGACTGTGGGACCTGTAATTCCTAACAGGCCAAAAAACGATTATCCTAGCTTTAGTAGTAGCTGGTAAAAAGGAAATAGTTTAACTGTTCTCCCTATCTCACAAGCCTGGATAAACAACACAGTGCTAAAGAGTTACTTGTTTTGGGGAAACACTTGTTACTCTTAATTCTGGGCATACTGTATACCTGGGAACTAGTTTCCCAAGAGGCGTATGATGATTTACAAAAAGCTCATGGGATAGTAAATGAGCCCCAACCTGGGAATTCCAGCTTACTAGGGCAACTGTTGAAGCCATTTAAGGTAGAAAGCAGAGCAGAAAATTAGGTTCTTCTTTCGTTTTTCATGGAATTTGTTATATTTTTCTCAAGTGTGAAATTAACCCCTGAAGGGACTCAGTCCATCTCATGACTATCTTACATATCCTTTTCCAATTCATAAAATTCGCTACAAACTGCTTTTGCAGTGCAAGTTGAGTAATTTCCCAAAGAGCCAGCTGTTGGTAAAGGCGGGCTTCTTTGCATTCCCTTTTAATGTAAAGGGCAAGACTTAGCTGGGATATTTTATTTACACTCTTATTAACTTTGATGCTGAGGTTAATGGAGTTAAAAACACAAACAAAAAAGGTCTCCCACTAACTAAAGCATGCCACCCCAAAACATGATGTTTTAGCTGAAGTGACTTAATTTCCCCGTAAACTGTCCCTGTCCCCACTCACCTCTGCTTGCTCCTGCTGTAGTTTCTGCTCTTTCCCTCCCTGCCCGTGAAATCCCAGCTCCGATGCAACCTTGTCCGTTTGTCTACCCATGTCTCTTTCTCCCTCACCAGCGAGTAGTGAATCCCTCCTCCTGGCACTCACGTGCTTTGCTCCACCTTATGACAGGTTCTTTGAGGAAGGAACCGACCCCACTTTCCCAGGGGCTTCTGACTGCTTCTAGAAGGCAAGCAATATACTCCCCCTCCACCCAAACCAAAGCGTATTAAAGAATCACTCAAATACAGCTTAACTTTAACATTTTATTTTGTGTAAAAAAAGGGCAAATTTAGTGAATTATTTTCATCTTGTACACAAAGTTATAATTTTAATGCTTTTCACATCCATGCTGAAAATTTGCGATTTGGTAAAAATGAAAGGAACATAAATTTCTCCGAAGGAATTTTTCACGCCATTATATATACACTTCATGAGAAAGTTTCAAACACTTTCTCAATGATCACGAGTTACCAAGAAAATAAAAGATTAAATTTGTACAGATATTGATCTATATATCAAATACATACAGAAATGATGTAAAAACCTTATGCAGTTTACTTTGACCTCTGTCCTCAAAAGATTTGCCCAGGGACAGATACTTTTCTTTTGTATAAATGACTGTGGCTTTATTTAAAATATGAAAATCAAAGGAAGAAACCCAGTTTAATCACAGTATTTTTAAAATCCCTTCCCAATATTAAAGGATCATTACTAATATATAGCACCATAATACAAATATTGATGGGAGAGGGTATTCACATCACGCAAAATTAATAATAATAAAAACAAACAAACACTGAAAACCCGTGTTAGTATCCGTAGAATAAGAAGTTGATAACAGCTTTAGCTTTCCTCATACACAGCAAGGAAAAGGTTAAAGAGTTTAAACTACCAAAAGTCCCCAAATAATCCTAACAGGGAAAAAAACCAAAAACAAACCCAAGGTCAGCAGTACATCTTGAACTGTAAAAGATAATGGGGCTATTGAGTTGTACAATTGGAGTTATGGCTAAGACATAAATCTCCCCTGCGTTAACTTATTTTCTCTTCATCAGCAGTAGGAGTTAGAGTATGAACAATGAAGAGGGCTTCGGCTTGTGTTTAGACTGTAGGCAGTCCTTACCAACCATTAACTGTTGGTCACGGATCAAGACAAGAAGCACTTCATGACTGGGTGGGACACTCAGAGCCTGGTTTTGTTGTAGAATTGGAAGCTTATAAAACCTGGCTACAAATGAGCATTTCACAGAACTAATTACCAGGACTGACTGGCTCCAAATCGTCTCTCTCCTGGTTTACTCCATTCCCCACAGAGCCCCTAAACCCAAGGGGCTGGTACGATATACCGTACAATAGGTTTCTTGTGCCCATATTACAGATTCAGAGTCCTGGGTTGAATTCACTGAGCCTGAGAATAATGACTGCTGTAACCTTTGCTTTGGAACGCTTCTAGGCTTTAAGTTTATGGGAAGATTCTTCAAAGTTAAAGATTCGGGAAGTGTGAGGATGTCACATTTACAGTAGGTCCCTCTCAGCAATGTTGTTTAAGATAAATATCCAGTAATTTAACAGCTGAATTCACATACATTTGACACATGAAAATCAACTTGCGTTGACGTGATCTGCATTTATGCCCCCAAAGAGTCAGTATTAAGAAATGGTGACATGCGATTCCATACATTCTTACACTATAAAGTAACAAATTTTACTTCCAGTAGCTACTACAAAACCTTATGTTATTAACCCCTCTTGCATAGAATGAGGTAAACCTGTGCGTATTACCAATGCTATTATTCCCAAAAGTAGAGCAATATTTTAGAAAATAAATTGCTGGTTTTTAACGTTCTATGCATTTTAAAATTCAAACAAAAATCTTACCTAAAATGGTCTCCTGGGGCTTTCCCTTAACATTTTTTAAAGCATTCCATAGGCTGAAGGACTGTAGAGGTTAATCATTTTGATTAATTTCTAATTAGCCCTGCCTATATTCCAGAGGAGATGGTCAAAATTACCACTCTGAAGAGGCCAGGCTAAGACCCAGAAGCACTTCTAGAACAGATGCAATTAATTCCTGAGAGTTTAGTTTATGAACCTCACTGGCAAACGCTACTAGAGCTCTCTCATTCAGTCACAACTCAGTAGAAAGTTAGAAAATGCAGAGAGCAAACTTCACCAATTTACCCTTGTATCCTTTTTTAAATGGAAACCATGTCAATTTTAAAACAGGGAATGTTCACAATGGTCCAAATTGGTTACTGTTAAAATAAATTCTGAATATGATTAAAGACAATTCATAATATATATATATATGGAATTTTAAGAAAATTAAATTCCTGCATTTAAATGTGTTCCCTGGTGATCCTTACACACGTTGGTTCAGGTACCTGGGTTAGCAGCAGCAGGTAAGTACGGGCTTAACTCTGACAG